CTTTCCCTAAGCAATACTCCACCCTTAAATTAAATATTTTAGAACCAACTTTACATTCAAGGAATATAGAAATAGCTACTCTTCCACCTTCTGCTTAAGATTCCTCTAAATGTGATTGATAATACTTGACCATATCCTATCCTATCAAAAGTTCTACATTTTGTTCCTTTTAGAACTCATGCAACATAAAACTTTTTATAGAGTTGTATTAATGTTGTATCCTTCCCAAGTTCTAGTGCTTTCCCTTCTCCTCTCCATTTTCTGCTGTTATAGATTTCTTTTAATGAAAATTGACGACCTTCCAAATGCATGTTCTTTTATCACAATATTGTTGTAATTCTGAGAGTATACATAAACATCTTGAAGTTTCCATGTAAAAATATAACCATCCTCCCTGATTCTTTATTAACTACTATATTTTTAAGGTGTTTCTTGCTCAGGATCAACTAGTGTGCTTTTTTTTCTTCAGGAGATGAACTTTGAAGAACTTATCACATGGAGTTTAAAAATTTAATTATTTGATAAGTAAGATTGATGATCCTCTTAGAGGTTCAGAATTTGGGTGAGAGAAAGGCATTGAAAACACTTACAAAATTATAATAAACATGGCATCCCGAAGTCAAGAGTAGACTAATGAACTACTAAAGTCGAATAAAAGTTTTGACAGCAAAAAAACCTCCTCAGTTTATTTCATTATTTTTCATCACTTTCCTCAATTAGTCCTAAAAATCAGACTTGAAATTAGGAGACAAATAAAGAATTGCAAGTGAACAAAAATTTATCCTGTGTATCCAGTATCATAGTGACTGCAATCTACCTTTTTTCCCTGTTGATAAGTTATTAAACAACCCACTTTAATATAGTAATGAAAAAATAGCCCTCAAGAGGTTGAAAATAAGAGCACTCAAGTAACAGGTGTTCTCTTTGAGGTTATTCTAAGCATTCAGAATACAGAACTTTAGACATTAATAAAAAGTGTGAGATGATATTTTTGTTAGTGTTGATAATGATGATACAGGTGTTTGATGGGCTTTTGGTTTGAAAAGCAGCCAGGATGTTTTGTTAGGTGAGCTGAGAGGAGGAAAGGGGATGACGCAGAAGGGTTATGTAGGTGTGCCAGGCTTTCAGAAAGCCTGATATGTTTGCACAACAGATTCATTTATTCATCATTTCCAACAAACATACACTATACACTGAATGCCCATTATACCTAAGCCCCGGGTAGGGGCCCTATGGGTGTACAAAAGTAAGAGGACATGCTTCTTGCCTTCTAGGTACTTCCAAGTTCTTCCAAGTACAAGGTTTTGGACTGTTCACAAACAACTAATGTCAAGCTGTACTATTGATAAATTGATAAATAAATGATACAAACTAAATGGCATTAGTCACAGAGGAAAATGGAGTCACATTGTGACTTGGATCATTATAGAAGGCTTCATGGAGGAGGTGTCAGTCAAGCTGGGAAGAGAGTTAGGTTTCACTGTTGGAGATAGCTGTGGAGTAGGGGAAGGCATCCAGGTACAGCAAAATGGCTTTAGCAGAAACACAATAATGAGCAACCCAAAATATGTATAGGGGATAGTGAGTGGTTTAATTTGGCCAAAGTATTGCATATGCTATAGAATGGGTATGCAAAAATAGGATGGGGGCAAAAGAAGAAAGAACCTTGAGTACCTGACTAAAGAATTCGAGCTTCACTAACAGTAAGCCACAGGGAGCCCTTGAGAACCTTTTAGCATGGTCAGAGTGGGGTTTTGGGTAACCTGGTGGCAGTGGCTAAATGGATTGAACAAGGGGAGACTCAAAGCTGTGAAAATAATTAGGAATCTATTATGATGGACTGGTGGAGCCAGATGAACTACTGCACTAAAGCACGAACAGTAGGAATAGACAGCAGAGGACAGATGGGTTTGTCCTGCAGGTGTGAATTTGGGCAAGGAGGGAGGGAAGTCAGTGATGACTCAGAGATTCTACACCTGAGAAATGTGGAGAAGGGTAAAGTCATCGTTAAAAATAGGAAGAAAAGCTGGATGAGTAGAGATTCTAAGTAGAGCCAGCTACATAATTTGTGGAGCTCAGTGAAAAATGATTAAGCAGGAGCCTGGCTGGAGGTGGAGAAGTCAATTTTCCCTTCCCAAGGGTCTGCTCCTCCAACCCACAGCAGATGTGTGACCCCCAAGTGATTTTAACCTCCATGCTGAGAAATTCTCAGTACCTGGATTGGGTGTGAGTGAGGCCCTTGCTGAGTTGCCTGCTGAATGTGCCATAGTGCTGCCAGCTCTGGGTGGGGATGACCACAGCCTTGCTCCTCTTCATGACGGCATGGGGCATGCGCCTGACCCTCCCCCCACTCCCACCCAGGCCCCAGCCAGGAGCAGAGGGCAATGGCAGATCAGTTGGGCCTCACTCTCAACAGTTTTGACCTGCTTGTGGTTCCTGGTCTCAGGGAAGGGCTGACAAGGGGGTAGGCTGGGTGGGGCCCAGGGTACCAGGGAGCAGGAATCCATGGCCAAGAACCAGTCCTGGGCAGGCAGTGGGAGGGGAGACTGAGTGTGAGCCAAGGCTCCAAGCTCTGGACTCATACACTGTTGTTCTGTTGGACTTCATTTACAAAGCACAAGTTC